TGTGAATGCTGCTCGTGCAGGTGCCTGTGAGCTGTTCCATCTGCAGGCAGCTAAAGCCCCTCTTAATCATTCTTTTCTTCTCCTTGATAATGCCTGTATTCTGGCTTCAGCTCCCATGTATTTTTGTGGATGCCTTTTACATTCTGAATACCAATTTCTTTCAGTATTTCCTTCAGGTATCCCTAAAAACAAAAACAAAACACAAACCATCTTAACATGAGATTACGAAGGCAGAAAACAAAGTTAAAAATAAATAAACCAAAACACATTTAATAACAAAAATTATGATCCTAAAAGCTGGACAAGATTTTCCATTTAAGAGGTTTAATAAACTGCCTTGATTCTGCACAGCAAAACGTAACCCCATAAAATGAATGACCACTTGCGTTGAAGGGGTGGAAGTCCTTAATGCCCGACAATCTGAAAGCTTAAAAAAAAAGCTAGCGGAAAACAGATATGACTGCTGCTCCATGTTTATTAACATGACCCAGCACACCAATTTGCCCTTGAGTTCTGCAGCTTCAAGGACTCAGCTCACAATTAGACGGCAGCCACTGATTTCTGTAGTAGTAGGATATATCAAAAATGACAAATATGTTTTGGATGGGAAGATAGTATTCAATGAAGCAAGCACATGACATATATCAAGAATTCTCAGGTCTAAGGTGCATCAAGGTTGTGTATCACACCATTCATTTTTCCCATGTAATATGGAAAGTTATTACTTGTGTTTACTATCATTTGGACATTGCCTATGCTTGCCACAGACAATGAGGAATAAAAAGTGATAAGACATGCTAAAAACCACCAGGCTGCAGCTTTTGTTACAGTTTGTCTGGATGTCCCCCCAAAGCTTCATGTAGCAGTGGGAGGTAGGTTTCTCAGAGGTGGCTGAATCTAGAGTTTGTGACTGATTCATGGTCTGATACTGGGATTAAGGATGTGAGTGCTATACTCATCCTAGCGTGGGTAGCCTGCATACAATACAGGGACAGCAATAAGCATGTCTTCTCTGTTCTCTCTTGTTGCTTTTGCTGTCTTCTGCCACCATGAACTGTGCCACTCTACCCTGGAGCCAGCCAATTGTAGACTGAAACCTCTACAAACTGTGAGCTAAAAAAACCCTTTCCTCTTGTAACTTTGAGTGTTGAGTATTTTGACTCAGCAATGAAAGAAGTAACTCAGACAGCTCTCCTGCGGTAAGGTTCCCTATTATGGTATTTTTGATTCCTGAAAATTCAATAAACATGAAACTACTAGAGTCATGGAAGTGATGACTATATTTAATATTAAACATTTTATTAAATATTAATATTTAGAGCAGTGCTTATGGATGAATCAAGACTACCTGTATCAGAACTTAGATACAATGCTATAGTAAGCCTTACTCTGGGCCCAGAAATATGCATTTTAATAAGTCCTCACAGGACTCATTTAACTAAAGCTCCACCATACCTCTTTTAAGGAATTCCACTTCTAGGCCAGATAGCTCAGTGGAATAAGTGCTTGCCTGCCAAATGCAAGGTCCTGAGTTTGATCCCTGGTATCACACACACACACACACACACACACACACACACACCCCCCCACCCCACAATTGGAAGCCAGAGAGATCAGCAGAATAAGCACTTCCCTGGCAAGTACAAGGGTCTGAGTTCAATCCCCGGTTTCAGGAGAAAAAAAAAAAAAAAAAAAAAAAAAATTCCAGTTCTGCTACTGTAGGATATTTGAGCCTTACCACACTGAACATTATGTATTATCAACACGACCTAATGGCACCTCACACTGATTGGGATAATGCTATATAATCCCAAAGTCCTTTTAGTTAGCTATCCATATAATTCTAATAGTATAAGGCTGCAGATATAGCTCACAGATATATACAGCTCAGATATATGGGAGAGTGTTTGATCAGCATGTGAAAGAACCTGGATTCAAAGCCTAGTATCACTATAAAAAAAAAGTAGAAATATTACAGCTGATTAGCACTAGGACTACACAAAGGTTGTTTAGAAGGCCGTGGATGGGTCAGCTCTCTCCCCTGGGCAGCCTTCCCATCCAGCAGTCAGGCCCCAGCAGGTGGCAGCAATGAACCAAGTGAGCCCTGGGTTCCCTCAGGCAGCTCACCCTGCTTCCCACACCTTCTACAGTGGGCTTCACAGAAAGACCCCTCGGAATGAACAAGCATAAAGCCTGAGGCATCCAGTTAATATGGACATCTGTCATCTGTTACTTTGTATTACACTTAAAAGTCAAACGTTGTTCAGAAGCTACTTTCTAATTAAACTGGATTCACGAAAGGAAAACGATGGGTTCGAAAGGAAAACGATGGGTTAGACACAAATGATTGTTTTGGGGATCAAGAATGACATCTTTGTAAAATTCCAAAGAACAGTTTATTGTGAAGCTGGCTAAGATCCTGTTGCACAAACAAACAACTGTGGATACACTGTAATGGGTCAACAATGAAAACAGCAGTAACTATGAGCATTTTGGCACCCTGAGAGAAGAGACATTCTCTGACACTTCTCATGTGCCTGTCTACAATCTAGATGTAAAAATTTAAAAGACTCAAAAGGGTTAAAAACAAAATGTTAAAGTCTTTCCTTTCTGTGTCTTCGCCTCCTGAGTGCTAGGAGTACATTGTAGGCAGGCCATACTGTACCTGGTTAAAGAAAGTCTTAGTGTATTGACTGAATTGCTTTCACATGTAGTCCACTCTCATTATGGCAATCTAGTATAATATTTGAGATAACATTTATATATGAAGATGCCACTCTCTTCCTTGTAACAAGGAAATGATATAATCAAAGTCTATTGATCTGTCATGTTAATGACACAAGATTAGGGCCACAATGTCTAACTATAGTACAGATTTGGGTGGGAGAGGTTTTCAAAGTCCTGGATTTTAGGATGCTTCAGGTCACAGTCACAGATCATTTTACTTTAACCAAATCAATTACCTTGGCTAGGAAATGGGCACAAAGCATTAGAAGAAAAACCCAGAGTGATGATAGGAAAAAGAAGGTTAAAAAAAAAATCTGAGAAAAGAAGATATAAATAATGAGGGGGCCGGGGAGATGGCTCAGTAGAATAAGTGCTTCCCTGGCAAGCACAAGGGCCTGAGTTCAAACCGTGGGATTTATGGGAAGGCCTACTTTCCCCCACCGGCCTCTTCTTCACACACACTTGCTCATTCTCTCTCTGCATACTTTTGAGGTTTTACAGCCCCCGCAGCCCGTAGACTTCCCTTTCTCTGTAATGCTTACTTCCTTCCCTCAACTCTGAACCTCACTGGACATGGTGGCACATATCATTAATCACAGCCTTGGGGGACTGAAGCAGGAAGATCTTGAGTTCAAGAATACTGGGGCTAAACATTTTGGCCCTAGCCTTCCAAGGTCAATTAAGACTCAGGACATATGAGAACTTGTACTATAACATCATGTAACTCAGTAGTGTCCCAAATTTTCTGATCAAGGAGATTATGGGGCTGAAAAGGAAAGTGATTGATGATGTAGAGTGTGCCTAAGGAGAGTCACATGGAGAGAAAACATTCTCTCAGGCTTTCACAGAGAGCACATTGGCCAAGCAATGGCTGTGACTCATCCACATCGCTGACACTGACAAAGGATCTAAAATCTGAGGTACAGGATCTCAGGATAAATTCTGAGGGGATTTGACTGACCTTATCAGATCCAAAAGCTACAACTCTTGTTGCATAGGTCTTGCTTTATCTTGGTCTTAACCATCCAGAAGAAAAGTATAAAAATGAAGTATAAGAAGTAAAGCCATAGTGCTATGTTGAGCTGTAGGGGACTCAGGTCAACAATTTCTGACATTGCCAGTCAAGAGGAAGTCCCAATATGGACTATTGGACTCTTTTAGAGTATTTTGCTGAGTTAACACACCTATAATATTCAAATGATGGAACTAAACAAAAAAGGGGATACAGATGAATGTCCATTTTGTATCTGTGTATTCAAAATGGTTAGGATAGATATATAGTTACATTCTCTGAATGAATAGAGGGATTTGTTCTAATAGTGTTTGTAAATAGGATATCATGTCTACATCTTGTACAGCAAATAACCACTAGGAAGAGAGTATGCAATGTGTTAATTATTGAAACTGTCCTACCAATTTGATTTGAAACTGTCTCACTGCTATTTGTTACTGAATAAAATTATGGAGAAAAAAAAAAATGAAAAAAAGAGTACCTGGGCTAGCTAGTGAATTCAAGGCCATCCTAGACTGCATAGCAAGACCCTATCTCAAAGAACAAAACATACTTGACAAACATTTGAACCTCTCATCCTTAAGAGTAGGCTCAAGTGTTGCTTTCCCCGAGAAACTTTCCCTAACAACTTCACCTTTTAGATTTACACACATACACACTTCAATGATGACCCTTATTATACTGTATTCTAATCCTTTATTTAGAATACAGTATATTCTAATGCCCCTCTCTTGTCTCAAACCACATGTGCATTATTACAATGCACATCACAGAGACTGGATGTACTTACTTGGGGCAAACAGGATCTGTTTAAAAGTGACCAGGCAGCTAAGAGGACTAGATGGCAAGGGGAGAGAACACAGAAGGTCCACAGGAATAAACTATGAAACACTAGCTCTTACTTTTACAACTTAGGTGCTGACCCATTTTTTTAAATCTTTTATTTATTTGGTACAGGGTCTTGCTACGCAGCTCAGACTTGTAGTGATTCCCCTGTCTCAGTCTCCCCAGAGCTGGGATTACAGGTGTGCACCGCCATGTCTGATTTCAGTGACCAATGCAGTGAGAGCTGGCATGACATGTGGTACCAGGGACTGAAACCAGTTCCATGCAATTGCCAGGCAGGCACTTAGACTGCTGAATGTAGGTAGTCTCGAAAGGCTCAACAACCTGCTATTTTGTATTTTAGTTTGTTCTTCTCTTCCTTCTCTCCCTGTGCCCCCTGTCATTTCTATCTTTTCCTCTACAAGTATGGCAATAAAATGGAACATTCATCTGCATTTCATTTCATCAGGCATTATAAGTATTACATCTGTAATAATTATATTTCTAGAACTCGATTTAAAACATATGCCTTTATAGGAAGCTAATCAACTTTTTTAAAAAAATGTATTTGGTACAGGGTCTTACAACACAGCTCGGACTTGTAGTGATGCTCCTATT